CTGATTATAAAAAATATGATGAATGAAGCAGAAGATGATCCTCGGAACTTCTGTCGGGCGTCCGTAGAAAGCAAACATTTTCTATTACTTCTATTTAAGGGGTAAAGGAGAAATAAAACAAAAAAACAGAATCATTCGTTTAATTCAGTAATTTCCAGTTGAAGAATCAACAAAATCTACATTGAAATTGTGAATAACTATACAATAAATTTACACTCCGCACATGAATTATTTACAAGCTGGCTTCATATAGAGCGAGCTACTACCGTACATCCTATATTACTAAGCGTATGTGTGGCCCCGCAAAGGGACCTTTTTTTTACATTTTTTCCCAAAATTGCGGCCTTTGTACAATTACTAAGTTAATCATTTTTTTTTGGCGCGAATTGTCGCGATTTTTTGTTATACGCCGATAGCCTATCGGCGTGAGAGTGTCAAATTAAAATGGCGGTTACTCACTCCCCGAGATTACGACGAAACTCCTTAACCAGTTTTCGTAAACGATAACGTGAATCGCCAATTCATATACATTTATCGTATTTCTCTTACAATAGATATTTCTGCTACACAGACGCCATCTTTAATTTTACATTCCCACTATACATTAGAGCTTTGTGCATCCCCAATGCATTAATTACACACTAAAGATTTCTTTACAAGTACTACATTAGAAAATTATTTAATTCGACGTAAAATATAGAACGTCATCAAACTGAAAAAAAAAATGATTTGTTGAAAGTATCCTCAATACTACAATTATCTAGTTTTTTTTGTAATCATTCAAAACGGAGTACCCTCAACAGTTTTGTATACTCAAGGTACTTTAATTTGCCTTAATGGCGCTTACTATTGAAAGTACCCTCAATATTACAACTTTTACTTGACTTGCTTAACTATTTTCGAAGCAAAAATATTTTTATAATCATACAATCAATCAATCATATTTATATCCCTCAATAATTTTGGACACTGAGGGAACTTCAATTGATGACGTCCTAAAACACATGAATCGTATACAGTCCATAAATCTTGTCGCAATGGGCCAGAACAGCTTATAGCAATAGCGATTTCTACTATGATAAGTCTTTTGTGAAATAAAAGTTGATGTATTCCTTTAAAGATCCAGGCCATCTTTTAAACCATATTTTATATTCGCTTTGCTCCTCGTATCTTCTTGATTCTCTTTGATTAGAATAATTCTAACGAGGAGTGAACTTGGCTTTACACCAGTTTTATTACAGGAGCCAAACGGGCAGGGGGCTTATGTGATGTTAAGTGATGCATAGAAAATGCCAGAAGGCTCTCGTGCTCTGCCGTATGCTTTCATTGTATATAGCATAGCATATCTTTGGCATAAAAATGAATATTCTCGATCATAAAAACTAAATTTGTTGGTTGATATCGCTATTCCTATTGTGTACCGTCCAGTATTTGAAATTCATGAAAATAAGGTCTATCTGACAGCTAGTCCATAGGTATTATTTCATTGAAAATTACAGTTAAATATTGAGATAAACCAAAGCTTTTGAAACCACCTGAACCTTTTAAATCAACTTATTAAAATGTGTCTAAAAATACCATCTCAATTCTCACTTTATCGTCCTATTAATAGAATTGAAGGCCGTTCAAACTGACTTTTGTATCGGAAATCATGTTTATTCGAATGGAATTAAAAAAAACTATATATTTTCGAAATTATAATATTTTATATATTTCGAATTTTATTTTTCGAAGAAATTACAACTTTTAGAGTTCTAACTTCGACTCTTGACTATTTCCCTATAAATATAGCTTAGATCTACTATAGAAAAAACAAAATGTAATTTAATTTTTATTATAAATAACAATTAACAATTAATAACATAACTCCAGTCAGTTTGAACATAGCCAGGATTAAAACATTACCATTTAAACTACAACATCAGGGATAAAAGCTATTCACTCGGCCCGTTGACGCAGACTATATTATATTAATATGAGCCACAGTTACCATGGCAACGTGAATAGCCCGCGCTCTGTCCGTAAGCATATACGAATGAATATTTTGGACAGGGCATACATACACTGGGCCTGCCAGGTTATTTACATATATACATTTCATGCTAAGAGCAATTTGCACAATGCCAGCCATGAAAAATACCAGATTTAAACCATTAAAATATCGCATGGACATTCTATTTATATATTAGTAATATAGAACATTTAGGAGCGATTTAATTTTATTTTAAGAAACCGAGTTTTGTTTCCAACTTTTTAACTATAGCAACAAATACTGTACAACCGCCGTGTACAAGCCCCTACGAGGCGTAGTTTTAAATATTGATATTTGTAACGAGGCGCAATTAGAAATTATATAGAAAATCAGTCGAATTTAAAAGTGGCTTGATAAGTAAAACCATATATTTATGAAAACTTTCAGAGCCAAAAAGTTAAATATTTACAATTAGTAAACATACTAAAACTTGTGGATTATAACTATAGAAAATGAGGGTAGTCTATTGATGGTAGCTTCAAAATGTTTATCTGCAAAACATTTAGTTTCAAGCTATCTGTCTTTTTTATCCAATTTCTATGGTGCTTCAAAATTTTATACGCAATCATCATTTTAAGCTTTAAATTCTACCTTTTTTTTAATCTACCCCCATTTTTACATCATATATCTTAACCATAAAACCACCTTCTTCAGCAAGCATTTCATGTTGAACTTCACCATAATTAATAATATAATCCACATTGAGGCTGGCTATTGTGAATTAAATCTATTTGTCACAGCCACTTAAATTATTAACGCAGGGGCAAACAAATCCCTAACCAGGAATCTCCCTTATATAGATCCCATAAATGCGGGAATAATCCTACTAGCTATATGCAGGAATCCATTAAAATATATCAAGTCCAAGCATGCAGTTTCTATACATAGAACAGTTTATTCAAATATTTCTTAATATGTATCATCGTTTTTATTATTACAGTTAGGGAATTTCTCCATAAGGATTATCCCATATAGAGGGCATTCTGCCCTAGCGATGGGACTTTTTCTCTTAAAATTCAGGAATTCTTCTAAATTGCGTCCTAATGTGGGGTCTTTGCCCTTACATATATTTTGTCTCATAAGACTAAAGATTGTTATTAGATGTCAGTGAATATATTTTTAAAGTCATCATAAAATATTAAAGATTATTTTAATACCATAAACAAGCACATCCCTAAAATCGCTCAATAAGTTAAGTAACACGAAGTCTAGTTTCCCAATATTACACATTGTATCAATTAATTAAATATGTGTTATAATTATGTCAATTAAAAATGTTTACAAAAACAACATGTGGTAAGTCTAGTTTCCCAATATTACACATTGTATCAATTATTTAAATATGTGTTATAATTATGTCAATTAAAAATGTTTAAAAAAACAACATGTGGTAAGTCTAGTTTCCCAATATTACACATTGTATCAATTATTTAAATATGTGTTATAATTATGTCAATTAAAAATGTTTAAAGAAACAACATGTGGTAAGTCTAGTTTCCCAATATTACACATTGTATCAATTATTTAAATATGTGTTATAATTATGTCAATTAAAAATGTTTAACAAAACAACATGTGGTGAGTCTAGTTTCCCAATATTACACATTGTATCAATTATTTAAATATGTGTTATAATTATGTCAATTAAAAATGTTTAAAGAAACAACATGTGGTAAGTCTAGTTTCCCAATATTACACATTGTATCAATTATTTAAATATGTGTTATAATTATGTCAATTAAAAATGTTTAAAAAAACAACATGTGGTAAGTCTAGTTTCCCAATATTACACATTGTATCAATTATTTAAATATGTGTTATAATTATGTCAATTAAAAATGTTTAAAGAAACAACATGTGGTAAGTCTTGTTTCCCAATATTACACATTGTATCAATTATTTAAATATGTGTTATAATTATGTCAATTAAAAATGTTTAAAAAAACAACATGTGGTAAGTCTAGTTTCCCAATATTACACATTGTATCAATTATTTAAATATGTGTTATAATTATGTCAATTAAAAATGTTTAAAGAAACAACATGTGGTAAGTCTAGTTTCCCAATATTACACATTGTATCAATTATTTAAATATGTGTTATAATTATGTCAATTAAAAATGTTTAAAAAAACAACATGTGGTGAGTCTAGTTTCCCAATATTACACATTGTATCAATTATTTAAATATGTGTTATAATTATGTCAATTAAAAATGTTTAAAAAACAACATGTGGTAAGTCTAGTTTCCCAATATTACACATTGTATCATTTATTTAAATATGTGTTATTATCATGTCAATTAAAAATGTTTAAAAAAACAACATGTGGTAAGTCTTGTTTCCCAATATTACACATTGTATCAATTATTTAAATATGTGTTATAATTATGTCAATTAAAAATGTTTAAAGAAACAACATGTGGTAAGTCTTGTTTCCCAATATTACACATTGTATCAATTATTTAAATATGTGTTATAATTATGTCAATTAAAAATGTTTAAAAAAACAACATGTGGTAAGTCTAGTTTCCCAATATTACACATTGTATCAATTATTTAAATATGTGTTATAATTATGTCAATTAAAAATGTTTAAAGAAACAACATGTGGTAAGTCTAGTTTCCCAATATTACACATTGTATCAATTATTTAAATATGTGTTATAATTATGTCAATTAAAAATGTTTAAAAAAACAACATGTGGTGAGTCTAGTTTCCCAATATTACACATTGTATCAATTATTTAAATATGTGTTATAATTATGTCAATTAAAAATGTTTAAAAAACAACATGTGGTAAGTCTAGTTTCCCAATATTACACATTGTATCATTTATTTAAATATGTGTTATAATTATGTCAATTAAAAATATTTAAAGAAACAACATGTGGTAAGTCTAGTTTCCCAATATTACACATTGTATCAATTATTTAAAAATGTGTTATTATCATGTCAATTAAAAATGTTTAAAAAAACAACATGTGGTAAGGGTCATCAATTTTTTTATCACTATCCAAAACCTCATCATTTTTTGTCTTTTTTGTATCTACTGTTACTGTTAAGTTTAAATCATCAAGATTTTCATAAACACCATGTTTTGAGGCGCACTGACTTCCTTGACTTTGGTCAGTGTTTAGATCACGTGCTGTTGATTTGATGCCTTTATTTGAATCCAAATTGATTGCCTCAGAACGACTTTTGACTTGTGTTTGTTCACAATTATTACCCTTCTGACATTCGGCATGAATTGGGTCACAGTTATTTACATCATGATGGCTTTTGCCCTTATTCGGGTTACAATGAATCAACTTACCCATAGGTTCACTAACTTTATGACCGGCACAACTCGGGCCCAAAACACTTTTGCCGTCACTTTGACACTTGACACACTTAACACAGTGACTAGCACTAACGTCCTTTATGGCGTTCATTTGTCACGTGACCTCCATCGGTAGGTTATCTGCGGTGCGCCGTCGCACGGTCCCGTTGGTTTCACCTTCGCTCGGAGTCTCAGCCACGTTTGCGTTGGAGGTAGATGCGGAGGTTGTCGGTTCGAGTTCGCTGGAAAACAAATAATTGAATGATATTAAAGCGTAAATTAAATGCTCAAATTTATAGCGACTCTCAAACTACAGCCTTCTTCAGATTCTAAGGCAAGAATCATTGTTTGACACACATGCTTTCCTCCTATAAAGAAAATGGTACCAAAACAGAATATATTATTTTCTATTGGATACAATTTGTACAGTATTTTCTCTTTCTTTTTTAAGAAAGAGAATATTATGTTCTTTTGAAAACAATTTTTTTCAATAGATAATAAATTTAGTCAAATCGTTATCATAGGATATTATCGCATTGGGCATGGGGCATACAGTGGGGCATGGGAATGTGCCCTAATTTTAACCTAAAAATAGTTGTAGAAACATTTTTAAAAAATTTAATATAAAATTTAGCCTTAACCTTTCCGTCATGGGAGTCATTCTTAACTAAGACCCATCACTGAATCTTACCCAGAGACACTTTGATTCGTTTTTCTTACTAAAACAACTACTGTTTTACTGGAAACCAGACTTGAGAGTTAAAGTCGGAAATATTTTTTGAATAAACTGTCGCAGAATCAATCACACTTAAATAGTTAAATGTATTAAATCTATTTTTATTGATTATTTCCTTCCTATGTACATAAATGTTTGGCCCTTTTTGTATATTATGGATTCCACATTTGCCTAAATCTTTAGTATTTTTCTATTGAAAAAAAAAATAAATAAAAAATTGCCACCCATGGACACTCAATGCCAGAGGTCGCGCGAGTGCATTGCCGGCATTTTAAGAATTAAAAGTAAAGTATACATAATTGTTTTCTGTTATCATTTAAGTTAGCAGAGTACGAAATAAATACTTACGCAACAGTGGTAGCTCTGGGCTGTGTGATCAGGCGTCCCTGTCTGGCTTTCAATTGAGCGGTCGTAAAGGCGATTGCTTGAACATTTGCCGACAACTGCCCACCGGATATGGCAATCTTCTGCCCTTTAGCTATGACATTATTAACCTGCCCCGTCTGCCTGTCCAGTTTTGGCATGAGACTGTTGATTTGTCCTGTCGGTCTGTCCACTTTTGTCACGACATTGTTCACCGGTCCTGTCGGTCTGTCCAGCTTATTCGGTATGACATTTTTCACTTTGGGCAGGACATTTTTCATCACTGGTATGTTCGCTTGTATGTTCGTCACGCTGGTAGACGGCTCGGATTGTCGTATGGTCGACACAACTCGGTTCTTCAATTGTATCTGATGGCGGACATTCCTAACCGGCAACGTTGCCCGTACAATCTGTCGACCGTCCAGACTGAAACGCGGTCGAATATTGCCTTTTAAAGTTCCATCGAAGACGACCTGGAAATAATATTAATAATACATCAGATAAAAATATACATAAAAATGTCTTAACTTGTGGTCTAAATACTCTCCCTATAAATACACCTTGCCTTTAGAAATCTAATCACCTTCCTCTTGAAAGCATTACACGGCAGTGATTAACTTTGGGAAGGTGATTAAATAGAAAACATTAGTTACAGTAATGAAAGACAGATGGCGCCCATTGCCAAGTTACCTAAAGCTAAAAATAGATAGCGCCATAACAATAAGAAATTATTAATTTCGAACGAACAAAAATAATTAAGAGTATGTTTTTTTAGGGCAGCCTGGACACTCACATGTTGCCAGAAGGCTCGCTGCGTTGCCGGCCTTTGAAATGTATATGTTCAACCTTTCACGGTTAGTGTCATAAAATTCGGTTAGGTAGTTTTTTTATTGGATAGGGGGGAAAGCGAGCCTACGGGAAGCCTAAAATGGGCTGCTATAGATTTCCAACGCTTTAATATTTACATCAAGAAAAGATTTATTTTCTTTTCAGTCGACTAACATAAGTTGATTTAATTTTTTTAAATAATTTATTGTGGTGCACAATATTGGTTTTTGACAGATTTTTTTTAAGGAAACCATCGTAATACCGACATTAGACCTAAAACTCAGGCACAGAAGGCTGATCACTTGCCTCAGACGACGTCAGGCCACCATCAAGTTAGTTGTTATATTTTTTTTATCTAAACAAAATATTTTTTGTTCAACAGGCAAACGGGCAAGCTGATGTTTAATCACCACCCATGGGCACGACAATGGAATAAGACATTCTTTTAACAACCTTTTAAAAACCAGGGAAATAAAGAGGCAACTGGATTTTTCCCCATTTAACATATTCACGAGTATTTTTTAACCGACTTAAAAGTCCGAAGGAGGAGGATATACAGTATACACACGACGTAATTTTTAAAAAGTGAATATTAATATAATTTCTTTAAAACAGGTAAACGGACAAGAAGCTCTTCTGATATTAAGCGATACTGAAGGCTCGCAAGTGCGTTGCTGGCCTTTGAAATTTAACAACTATGTACAGTATAAATTACCTGTCTCTTCTTATCCAGGTCCAATCTCTTCCCCTGAAGACTGACCAAATGCGGCTTCGACAATTGTCCAGACTTGATCTCGAAGAACTGCGTCACCGGCGCTTTCAGCAACGTCGGCTTCGAGTCGATCGTGGCCAAAGACACAACGGTCGGCAACAGCTGCCGATTCTGGGCCAAGAGCTGGGCGCGCTGGGTGTTCGAGATGGGGTGAGCGTGGAGGACTTTTAACTTCCCCTGTTGAGGGGAGACCACCACCGTTGGGTTCATGGGTTTGTGAGCTATTTGGACTAGGGGGGTCGGTCGACGGGGGTTGGACATTGTCGGGATGGAGACGTTAGCCATCGTCTGCATGTTGGCCATGCTTAGATTGGTCATGTTGGCCACGGTGGGTATGCTCCCGGATGTGATTGTCGTTGTTGCACCTGGAAGACAGTTCAAAATATTATTTTAGAATTTCAAGGTTCTTTTGAGTAGTGTTTGCTTAGTATTTACGACCTCATGGACCTTAGATGAATCCAAGTCGTAGAACCCAGCTGTACACGAATAGACTGTCCATGTGCGCATTTAACACTCGCTCGTACGAAGGAAAACATCGTTAGGCATGCTTTAGATCAGTGTGGACTCTCTTTTTTGTTCGTTGTACGCCTAAAGGGCGTTGAAAGCTCAGCTCGGCCGGAATAAGCTTTTTGCCGCTAAGCCGTCGTGGGGTGATCAAGCGCCTGAAGGGCAGGAAAGAAGAACACACTTCACAGAAGTGAGCTAACAAGTAAGGGATCTCTTTATTTAGTCATTAGCTGCCATCATGATCCCATGATCATCCGGACCCTTTTTTATGGAATGGAATCTCGCTGTAGGCTTGTCTGTCCTTGACTCTTCAGCTCTGCCTAGTTATCCCACGACTAGCACAAAGGCGTCTCCAACGAGACTTGTACCTGATCTGGGCTTTCGCGGGGTAGTCAATCGCCTGGAGGGCAGGACGGAAACTTACTGGAGTGAGAGGACAGTGAAGTACAGGACCTGACCTCGTCCAAGGAAGGTGGTTTTATAGGGTTAGAAAGTTATTATATGATGGGATCATCATGTCGACTAATGACTACTTGGATTTTGGACAGAAGAGCCCGGACTTACAAGTGAGTACACTGAAATTACAGTATCTTATACTTACCAATATCCCTTGAATGAACTGGCAACGTAACCGCGAACGGTCCGTTTTGAATTAAGCCAACCACCGTACCTTGGCTCGTTGTAGTTTGATTTCCGAGACGAACCTAAATCAAGAATAGTTAATATGAAATTAGAAAGAGACTGTTTTTTTGTGAATCATAATTGTTCGGGACGTTCAAAAAAGGCACTCTTTGCAGCCCATGGACACCTATATTAGTGGATGCGTTGCCGGCCTAAAGTAACCTGTATTAGCTATTGTGAATTTTTTATCGATATAAATACATTATTAATATATTTCGGGTCACTACCAAAGGCAGTGTCCGCCCTCAAAAAGCCGTTTCGAGGCTTTTTGCTAAAATTGCAAAAGCAATTTCAGATACAGTCGACTCTCGTTAATTATTTTGAATAATCGATTGAATAAAATCAATGTTAATTGGTAACTACCTTCGCTGTTGAAGTTGAAGGAATAGTATCTTCCTCTCTATAATTTGATGTGAATAATTGTTAATACATAATAATATTATAGTAATAAATCACAAATTTTCAAACTTTTACTTCAGTAACTCTTCGTAGTTATTGAAGTGTTAATTTCACCTCATGTAATTGTTTTTGTTGTATGTCGATCAAATACAGTTGTAGAAATTAAACTTATTAGTCTCAATAACACTAACGCCCGAACCCAATAATTAATCCACAATCTAAGATTGAAGACAATCTGAGATCAGACCGTGACAGTCGATCGATCTCCTATCTGCATCCCAATAACCAAACCCTCCAAAGACAATCCATTTATGGTGACGGATAAAATGCTCTTTGTCGTTCCATTTTACCGAGTTTTCACTCATATTTAATAATCAATGTAAACAAAATAAAACGATACAAATATTATTAAAATATAAATGTGTGTGTTTAAAACATAACAAACACTTTTTTTAATTATTTAAAAAACTGGCGTAAGTTAAAATCTGTTAAAATAATTAACTGTTGAAATCGAGCTTTCGTCAACTGTCATTTTTATACAAAGGTCTATCCACAGACACCGATACGACCTCCCATGGATAGCTTCTATCGACAGATTGCTATTACAATCCGTCAATTGGTTATTGGCACACTTGTTACAACATTAGGATTAAGATTACTATCTCTGATGGTGGATTATGGATTGAAATAGGTTATTGGGTCCGGGCGTTAGTCATAGTGGTCAATCGAGTTATTGATAGAAAATCAATTGGACAACTCGGTGGACCTATCTATTGTGAACTGTAACTCAGTGTTTCCCAACGTGGGGTGTACGCCCCACGTTGGGCACAATTTGATTCAAATCAAATAAAAATACGTTAATTCAATTTAGATGTGTCTTAGGGCATGCTTATGAATGTCAAAAACGTTTTCAAAACTCGCGAAAGAGCAAGACTACGCCATCCGTTCGCAAAACTACCAGGAGGCCTTGTTCTGAGAAGAACGGGCAAGAAACTCTAAGTTTTGCCCTCCCTCTACAATACAATTATTCAAAGGAAAATGTCATAAACCACAACGTCATTAAAGTTACATAATTTAAAAAAAATCTGTTCTGTGATTTACATTCACCATCACACACAAATCAAATTATAAGAATACTAGTGGACCCCACAGACGTTGTCCTGCATGATATTTAAAGCGATTAGGATATTAAGCAAAGTATGAAAGTACCGACTGCAGTGCCATCTGCCGGGCTGATTTGTGAATCTAAACCATTCCTAGATCCCCTTGAACACACACAAAAAATTTCATCAAAATCGGTCCAGTCGTTTAGGAGGAGTTCAGTCACATACACACGCACACAAGAAATATATATATTAAGATAATTAGAATTATTGCCAAGCGTTTTTATCTTCCAGGTAGTCATTGACTGTGTAGTAACCTTTACACATTAAGGTTTTTTTATATGTGTTTTGAAACTGTTTAAAGGCAGTTCTAATATTTCACTAGGAATCATGCTATAGCAGCGTATACTTAGGCCCACAAATGAAGTATTTATTTTCTGCAACCTGTAAGACGGCTGGAAAAATTTTCCCCTTATTTCTCGTATCCCTATTGTGAATGTCACTGTTCTTTAAAAGAGAACTAATATTACTACGCACAAATACGATACATTTGTAAATATATTGGGAAGGTACCGTCAAAATATCGATTTCCTTGAACAAATTTCTAAGTTAAGTGCCTGGCCAATAAATTGACCTAATAGCACGTTTTTGCAAGATAAAAATTGAATGTATATATGCCGATTGATAAGGCTATTCGTAAATTAATTAAAATTTAGACTTGGATTTCAGTTTTCGAAAATGTACGTACTGTGTTTTCTAGTGATTTCAACCTATCATTTAAGTTTCTTATTTAATATTTTCATTAAATATTATTATTACAAAGAATTTTAGAAAGACTAAGGTAGGGCATGTTACAAAAAAGTTTGGAAAACACGGCTGTAACTTGAGCGTTCCAATATACTTAGCAATTCCCTTTTTTTTTTAATTCCAAAATATATTCATAATATAATGTTTTATATTTTGGATATATGAGATATATTTCTACAATATATATATATATATTTTATCTAATAGGAGGCAAACGAGCAGGAGGCTCATCTGATGTTAAGTGACATAAGTCTCATTGCCAGAATGCTCGCAAGTGCGTTGCCGGCCCATCAAAAATGGGTACGTTTTTTTCTTGAAGGATCCTAAGTCGAATTGGTTCGGAAATACTTCAGTGGGAAGCTGGTTCCACATAGTGGTGGTGCGCTGCAAAAACTGCCTTAAGAAACAACAAGAAGGATGGTATTTCGTATTCTGTCTTGACGACCGATAATAAAACGCAGCTGCAGGTCTTAGACCGAACAACTCTGAACAGTCTCCAGGGTAAATGCAGTAGAAGATGCAGAGACACCCCACATCTCTACGGAACGCCAACGCCAAGCCGCACGGAAAGTGACTGGTCGTTGACGATTCGAATCGCTCTTCGTTGAATACGGTCAAGCGGAACAAGCTGGTACTGGGGAGTTCCCGTCCAGATGTGAGAATAGCACTCCATGTGGGGTCGAATTTGCGCTTTAACGCGAGTGGTGGTCCGGAGTGAAGTACCGTCTCGCCTTGCTGAGCACACCAATCTTTTTGGAGGATAATTTAGCCTTCCAAATGATCGCGAAACTGAACGCCATTCGATATGTCAACGCCCAGTATTCCGATGCTAGCTACGCAAACTTGTGTCTTCTTGGGGTTAGTCTTCTCCAGTCCGAAACTCCACGTAGTAGACTTTCGACTTCAGACACAAGTTTGTTCCGGTACTCATCGACAACTGCCCGAGAAATACCTGCCCGGCCAGTGTAAAAAGTATCCACAGTGCTGTCCTCCGCATAGCAATGAATGTTGCTAAGTTGCAACATATTATTGATATGCAGAAGAAACATTGCCGGGACTAGAACACAGCCTTGTGGGACTCCAGTGTTCACGGGTTTAAGGTCGGAACATGCTCGGTCGATGATAACTTTGATTCCCCGATCAGCGAGAAAGCTAGAAAACCAATAGCATTTCTCGGGGAGCCCATAGGCTGGAGGCTTCGAGAGCAGTAATCTGTGCCACACCCTATCGAAGGTTTTAGCTATGTCCAATCTTACCGCCAGCGCCTTCCCTTTAGATCAATTGCCTCTCCCCTTAACAGACCCTCGAATAACAGCTCACTTATCACCAGGTGAGAATTGTTGAACGTCTGTTTAGTGTAAAACAAAATAATAATACCTTCAAGCTGTCAGCGACTGCCACCGTGACCAGCTGCGAGTGCGCGTCTGACGTCACAATGGTGACGTCGGGCCTCCGCGATGCAATGATGTGCTTCTTGTGCAAAGTCTTCAATTGAACGGTCGGGATCTCCTCTTTTATGTCGCGTTTCTCCACTTTGACTGGTTGGTTGACCTATGCAAAAAAGTGGGTTATTATTTTGATTCTTTGTACATGAATTTGAAAATTTTTTTGTGTCACATCTTTAACTGTCAGCCGACTTTAAAAAAAGGAGGTTTTGGACAATATTTAACTTCCAAGAACGACTGCCTTGTTTCGTTACTACTTTTATAAATACTGAAAAACCGAGATTTTCTTTTTTATTTAAATATTACAAAACAGTTCAAGTTTCATTAGAATAGGTTGAGTAATTTATGAGATATCTACACTTTTCTAAAGGGTACGTGTAATACAGTTTTTCTTTAATTAAATTACTCATTATCGTCGTTTATTTGAATTGATTTGTCTTAATCAAAACAATCTGATATTGTTCATAAACCAACAAAATCACAACTGAGATATTTGTATGTCTGTTACGCATCTTAAACTACAGAACCGATTTCAATGCCACCATAAGAATAAATAAATGCATACCTCGTTAACCTCCTCTACGATGATCTTCGACGTGGGGACCGCCTCTGCGCAGGCTGGGGCTTAGTGGCGTGGGGCGTGGGCTGGGTTGGAGTCAGGGGTTCGGGGGTCGGGATGGCTGTGGGCAGGTGCAGGGGTTCGCTAACCGCGCACACGCGCACACTCGTAGAGCCGAAAGGCTCGCGACGCCGCGGGCCAGAGACGGTACGCCCGGGGACGCTCTGGCCTAGAAAAAAATTAATCATAAATTATCTCTATACATCTGACCTAAACATATAAAAATATGTACATATTTAAAAAAAAGTAGAGCTCTATTAAGACTGGCCTACTACTGGTTATATAAGTAGCAGTCAAGCATAACGTAACGAATTAGAGAGTGTGGTGTGTGTGTCTCTGTGTTTGTGTGTTTGGTGAGTCTTGTAAAACGTATGAACTGCACATTACACATTTAAAACTGCGTCACGTAATACTTAAACTCTCTCATACTCTCTTCTCCATAACTCTTATACAACGACGGGTCTTTAAAGAATAAAAATATATACCTTGCAATAAAAAAGAATCCTTGCTGACATCCATGACGAGCTCCTCCAGCAGATCATCCGACAACCTCTTATCTTCCAACGTTTTGAGATCGGTCTCTGACAAGATGCTCTCAACTTGAGCCTCAGTAAAACCGGTGGTGAACTTCTCGATACTCTCTGTGCCGTCCAAGTTCTTCAGGTCGTAGAGGTCCTTCAATCTGAACTCTGTTGTGAATGTATCGAGACCCGTACTGAGTTCAACAGAAATGGGAGCGTCTCGGCTGAGTGGAGTCACGTCCTCTGTTGGAGGTGGTGACGGCGATGGGGTTTTTGGTCGGAAGTGAAGCCTGGAAGGAGTTTCTAGTTTTATATTTATTTTTATAAGGCAGAGAACAGGCAAAACTGAAGTTTAAATAAAAATAGGCTAAAGAATCATATCAAACAGTCAAGAATTCAAATGCAAATTGAAAAAAAAATGTTGTATAAATACAACTGTGCCTACATGATTAATATAAAAGTATTGATGTTTTAATATAGATAAGTATTGTACCAACACTCAAATTAAATAGTCGTGTCCTGAAGAGCCTAGTTTCATTACATTACTCAGTACCATATAAGGTCATACGAATACCAAATAAGGTACATTGGTGACCCGGTAAGTGTCATGTCAAGTGACATGATAAGGTACACAACTAACAGTCTAGTATGAGGTTGCATAGCAAAGTGTTCCATATATTGGTATGTTACTATAAGGTTAAGCCAAGTAAATCATATTTAAGGCAAAAAGAAGCAGTTAATTTTAAAAAAAAAGTCAAAATTCAATTTGTCTAAAGCTGTCACTTACTTTAGAAATTTAAAATGAACATAAAATAGACTGGCCAAATAAGTTGAAGGCATATTCACGATATGGTTAAAAAGAAATCAACGGAACAGTAAATGTGAAATAGACTATCAACCTAGAATTAAGCAAAAAAGAAAACCAGATGCTATTTAAGAGCATGGAAAATTATCATTATTTTTCAATGCTGGCGGTAATAGTGGGAAGGCTGGGTGGCCCATGGGTCAATGCAATCAACTGCATGTGCCTTTTTTAATTTTATGATTTAACATACTTTGAAGCTACTTGTAACACAATAATACCCATATGTACATAGGATTGTCTGCTTAAATAAATTATTATTATAATGTAATAAAATAACTTTTAATTATTTAAAAATTGTTAATAACAAATAAGAAATCCAGAATTAAAAATAAATCTGTTACTAAATTCTGGTAAGAGAATTCAGAGATTTTTTCAAGGTTCAAAGGGGTTGGTTCTAATAAGACTTGAAAAATACATTTAGATAAATCTTATCATAATCACAAGACATCCAACAACAATCTTAGGCAATTATTTTTATTGTGCAATAATATTGAATACCCTCTTTGAATCCAAACATTCAATAATATTTAGCAATGAGATTGACAAACCATTCACGTCAATATTTTCATGAGAGAAACATGTCTGACGACGAAGTTATGGCTGCAGCTAGTGATTTTGTTGAGAAAAGGAAAAAAATTGCAATATTGCGCAATACTAACCCTACACAGTACAAAAAATACATATTGCACAATAAAATTTAAGCTCGCTCAAACTTCTGTTCAATCATTGCGCAATTTTCAATATTATCCCTACACTGCTAATAATATTGTACAATCAATTATATTGTGCAATATTATTGTAGATGTATGGGGCCGCCTTACAATCATGTTATTTGTAAGTGCCAGAAAAAGTGTTATTTATTTTAGTGATTAATATATATATATATATATTAATCACTAAAATAAATAAAAAAACCTTTTTAGGTCTGGGTCTCCGATATCTGTTGCTGTTTCGTGATAATTTGTCAATCTAATAGGCAAGTAGATGATTAGCCTCCTGTGCCTGACACATGCCGTCTTGTTGGGTCTAAGGCAAGCCGGTATCCTCACGATGTTTTCCTTCGTACGAGCGAGTGTTAAATGCCTGACCTGAGGGATCAGAATCACCCACTTGCCTAATGAAATAGATAGAGAAATTTGAGCCCCAAACCTAAAACGTTGAAGCGCCACTGGTTTTTTTATTTAATAAATGAAACCAACTCACCAATTGTCATGAACGTCAGTGATGAAACCTTCAAACTCCCTCTCCACTGGTTTCAAACTGTCATCTGAGTCATAATCCGTACTGGAACTCCAGGCCCGCTTCCGCATCACACGCTTGAGATTATCGCGCACTGCACTGTCTATGGTCCGATTCACATCAGTAACACTAACACTAGTTCCCACTTTGGCACTTTCACTTTCAACACTCTCGGTACCCTCAATACCCGTAGTACCAATTCTGGGACTCTCCAAATCCAATTTACAATCGCCGAAGTCCATCATGTCATCGACCTCCATTTTGAAGTCAAATTTAATGTCGTCGATGTCCATTTTGACGTCACTTTTAACGGGCTCGTCGATCCAGAGATGCGGGTTTCTGTTGAGGTGTCTCCTGAAGGCGTGTCTCCAAGGATGCTTACCACCCGAATGGTAATCTCTGGTGATTTCTTTTGGCGTTCTGAGTCTTTGATTTTCCAAGTCCTCCTGTAAATATTAATATATTAATAATTGTAGAAATTATTATAGATCTGTTTTCGGATAGGGAAGCTAACGGGACCCGAAAAAGGGCAGTCATCGGAGCTCATGGACTCCCAAAATGGAAGCGTTTGCGGCCTATGAGGGTATGTTCTTTTTTAAACAATTGTAGGTCGTATCTCCCAGGGAAGACCCCCCACCGGCGTATATTAGTGGGTGCGTTGCCGGTCTTTCAGGGAGTATGCTCTTTTTAAACAATTCGTATCTCGCAGGGAAGACCTCCGGGAGTCGATTCCACAGTTTGCTAGTTCGCAATAGAAAATGTCTGAAAGCGGACCGTGGAAGTTTTCCAGCCAACAAGATGATGATGATGAAATTTTGAGTTAATAATACAGTTGAATAAATTTTAAAATAATTTTTGAGGTTCAAAACTTTTGGCCTGTTTTGAAGTAGTATTAGTAAAATAAGAAAAAAAAATTCGGGGTACCCTCATTTTAATTACCTGTATTTCCTTTTCAGGTATGGGCAATTTCGACCACAGCGAATCCAGCTCAGTTTTGACCCGGTCCAAGATGACACGTCCGCCTCTACCCATGCGACGCCGCGCGAATCCAACATAGTGTGGATATGGATTGCGAACAGATGTTAGTGTAAACCTAGAATAATGAAATAGAAACATGAAATAAAATACATTAAAATTATATTTTTTAAACATAGTGGAAATATGCAAATTCAATTTCAAGTGGAATTCGCGTCGGGGTCAAAACATGGATTTTTAGGTTATCTTTGTATTAAAATAAAATAAAATAATTTTAAACCGATTTCAAAAAAAGGATGTTTCTCAATTCAACCGTGTATGTCTATAATTTTGTATGTATGTTCGCGGATAACTTCTTCGTTTATGTACAGATTTTTATGAATCTTTTTAAATTTGTGGTACTATGATAAGGATGAGGTACCACCAGTACCAGGGTGAGTGCACCACAGACAATTATGAAATGATTCCTTCGAAAGTCGGGTTTTTTTGTTAAAAATGATTCTTAATTACATTTGTATCAACCCACCTAATAAGTATGATTGAATAAAAACGAGGTGTTTGTTGTGATTTCTGGATCGAGTAATTTATATTTTATTGTGTTTATAATTAGAGTCAAAATATTGTTTTTTATTATTCAAGCATCACATCGTTAGATAAAATCAATTTGGCTATTAAATTTGATTTTAGTTTATCGAACATTTTTCAAGGATCCAGAAATAAATTATCGAGAGTCGACGGTATTTGACACAATATTTGTTTTAATAGTTAATACCATTTCTATCACATAAAATATATATATAAACTCTTGAATTATATTATATATATATTTATATTAATAATATACCTCGTCCGTTCGTCCATTTCGTGTTCAAACATCCCTTGTTTCGACGGACTAGTCGTCGACTCCACCGGATCACCGGACAAAGTTGAAGTTGGCTGAAATGTCATCATTAATTACAATATATATAATTAACTAAAAATAATATATGTACTTAATAAAAATGAATAGCAAAATATGTTGCTAAGCTCAAAACTTGAAGATTGGACCAATTCGAGTATTTATTTATTCCTTCAGCTTTGAGGAAGGTTTTTATGGAGAGGAAATTTGGAAAAATTAGTTTTTATTCCGGCTAAGCGAACTTTATAGGGTACTATAGCAAAATGTTTCATAATATGTTGGTATGGTACTAAAAAGGTAGGCTAACTAAATCATATTGAGACTAAAATAAGCAGTTACTTATGAATAAAAAGAGTTAAAATTCAATTTGTCTATAGATGTCACTTACTTTTGATAATTAAAATATACTGGCCAAATAAGTTGAAGGCATATTCACGATATGGTTAATAAGAAATCAACAGAACAGTAAATAAGAAATAGGCTATAGAATCATATCAAACAGCCAAGAAGTCAAATGTAAATTAGGAGAATATTAAAAAAAATTGTTTTAAATAGTACTGAGATACTTATATTTATTTTGGAAAAGCAAACGCTATGGGGTAGCATAGTAAGATCCAAAAGGTAGCAAAAATAATATTAACGCGAAACGAAGCAGCCGAATTTAATTTTTAATTTAAAGCAAATTAAAAAAAAGAATAAAAATTCAATTAGTCTAAAGGCGCCACTTTTGAAAAATGAAATTAATATTTTCACTCACCATTTCATAATAACATCCAGGCTTCCTTCGAAATGAGAACGGTCCATCATCAATTGGCGAAACACTTTCTTCCTCCGAAGATGTACACTCTGCTAATTAATAATAATATTAATTTTATTTATAGGATCAGTCATTCAAAGCCTTTTAAAATAGCCTTCTTATACACATTTGGATCACCGGAGGAACGAAAAAAAATAATGATAAATCCATAGCTACACAGCCGGGATTCGAACCTACGACCTCAGGGAGGTCGGCTGATAACACACAGATGACAGATGCTAGTAACAGAGATCGGTGGTTTAATGTCATCTCTCAGTTTGACAATTCACTTGTCATTCTATGGATTTCCCATTCCATTGAGAAAATGGAACGCCAATGTAGTGGAGTGGAGAATCTATAAAGGCCGAGAACTTACAAAAATACAACAATCATGTTAGATTATGAATTCACTCAATCAATTTTGAATTAACGAAATTCGCTTAATGGCCTAAGAGCCCAGGACGGCCAGACCTTCGTTATTTAATAAAAAATGAAAGTTATTCTGTGCGCGTCCCCTATACAGGTAAGAACGACCAGGGACTATAGAGTTTGGGTAGTGGTTACTTGGGCAGATAACAGGTAGTAAAGGTGTATAAAATAGTACCTTAAATTCGTTAAAGTATAAAGCTCATTTTTTTTATATTTTATTAGGGATAACTTTAGAAATCTCGTCATCCATTGCCAGACACTTATGACAGTTGCTACCCCCTGCCAGACACCCCTAAAGTTTAATAAATTATAATTATACTTTCAATGTGTCTGACAAGGTGTAAAAACCATTAAAACTGTCCGGCTATTGAGGTAACATTTTTTCATAGGTCCCCAAATAACATATATAAAATTTAGCTTTTATACTCTAACGAAAGTACCTGCCCAAGTAACCAATACCCAAACTCTATAGTCCCTGGTCGTTCTTACCTGTATAGGGGACGCGCACAGAAGAACTTTCAGCTTTTATTAAATAACGAAGGTCTGGCCGTCCTGGGCTGCTCTATAAGCTTTCTATCACAGGCTTCACTTTCATCCTGGTTCAACTTCCAATAGCGATTCTGGTCCAAATAATGAGTTATTGTTCCACGTTCTCAAAATTGCGACAACGCTACGGATATTGAGAGAGCTACATCGAATTTGAATACAAAACGAAATCGCTATAGCTATTGGAAGTTGCAGAGTATAAGAAGTGAAACAGACACAAAAAAATGTCTGCCCCATTCTGCAAAGTAATTTAAATGGAACACAGACACACAAATGTTGTTCTATCTGGGCGTTAAACACTTGATTAGCGAAACAGACATGGAAAAATGTCCGCCCCATTCTGCAAAGCAATTTAATTGGAACACAGACACACAAATTTTGTTCTATCTGGGCCTTAAACACTTGATTAGCGAAACAGACATGGAATAATGTCCGCCCCATTCTGCAAAGGGACTTCAGTGGAACACAGACACAATTATTGACCTAGCTGGACCTAAAACACATTATTAGTGAAACAGACACAGAAGATGTCCGCCCCCATGCCCCAATATGCAATAATTACCTCGCACTCCTTGCACGGTACCGGGCGTGTGGTGTCTGTGTTTCCGTCTCTTGTACGGACGTTTTTCGCGCTGAAAATTTTGTATTTTTCATGAAAATTTCTTTTTTCACAAAACATTTCTTTCAGACACGTTCCGTTATTATATATTTAAACTATGTTTAACAATCAGAATACATTTAATAAAGTCGCCTATAGCAAAGATTGTTTTTAACTAACCAATTTGAAAAACACTTAAGAAAAATGTACTGATCTACCATCTCAATATTATGTATATATTTAAAATATATGTGTACATAATTAAAACAAATTCCACATATAAATATATTAAATGCACACATTGTGTTCAAAGCATCTAACAGTAAGGTTCTATATTTAACCAATCGTAATTTCAACAACTACCTTTTTTGCCAAAGGTTTGTTAGTTAAGACTATTTAATAAAATAATATTGTATTTCTCATATATTAGTTATAAAGATATAGCAACTTTTATGAATATACCCGCTATAGAACATTCAAACCTTAAATTGTTTAAAAATATTTTCCCATTTACACACATACTTAGAACAATTGCTTTGTGAGGGTATTTGGAAAAAAATCGTTATTTAAAAAAAATCGTCTCTATAAAATTGTGTTTACGCTGTAATTATGTTACAGGCTTTAAACGAATAATTTAAACCCTTTTTAATAAGGAGGTTATATTTAATAGATTTCCAATTAAATGTATATATACCTGTCGACTGTGGTGGGTGTCCAGTGAAGTAGGAGTTGAGGGTGGCCTGGGTGGATACGCGAATTCACGACGAATGCTCGCCAAGGGCACTGTTGCTAACTGTGGCCTGAAAATATGGTAAAATTAATAAAATAAAATAAATAAATCAGTGGCGGTGACCTTTTTAGGTCTGATTTGTCTGCCTCCGATTTCTGAATTTGCTTCATGGAGATTTGTCATTCTAATAGACAAGTAGGTGATCAGCCTCCTGTGCCTCACACACTCCGTCCACTTTTTGGAGCTAAGGCAAGCCGGTTTCCTCACGAGGTTTTTCTTCGTACGAGCGAATGTTAAATGGGCACATAGAAAGTCCATTAATGCACGGCCGGGGATCGAACCTACGACCTCAGGGATGAGAAGCCACTTGATCAACACTACTCTTTCCCGACTCTTATACCATGATGAACAAAAAGTAACATACCTGACAATCGGTTCCGGCAGTTGATTGGTAAAGTCCTTGGCGTCGTAGCGTTTCTCCGCCAACAAGGCCGTCAATTTGACCATTTCCCTCTTGACTTTCTCCCTCCGGGCGACCATTTCCAGGAGACTTAGGGCCGTGGCGAGCTCTCTGCGCAACTTCAACATCTTCTCGTACGAGCTTTCGTCGTTTTTCCTGAATTATTAAAATCACATATCAAAATCTGTTACTTATTTATGACACCACTTGCCATAGGCTTCAATAATAAAAAATACTACTATACGGTTCTATTATAGCTATTTTCCTGTTGTTTAATATTTCTTATTTTAATATTATTACTAAATCAATTAGAGTAGTAGAGAATTTAATAAAATTAAGTACTTATTGATTTTAGGAATACAAGGGTAGTTGTAGAAAACTAATTTAAATATAATGACTGTTCATAATTTTTTTTCTTTCAATTTATTTTATAGTGGGATATTTGACATGGAAATCTTATTCAATTACACATACCTATTTTTCCTAGTCTGCATTTTCTCTGTTCGCCTTCTAAAAGCCAAGTATGGGTTGTTCGCAGATTGACCTGGCCGACTCTCTGTCCTCACCGATAGTATCAATGGATGTTGCTGTCAAAACAAATTGATCTTTAGTTTTTTTGAAAACATTATTAGTACAATTGTTTACTGTATTAAGTTTTTATAAGGATTTTCAAATAATATGGGGGAGTTTTTCAGAATCCCAAATTCTATAGCCCAGACAGGTAATTTCTAGTAAGTAGATCACTAGCGGTTAGTTTTGTGCCAAAAGAGTTAATTGTATGTATTAAACGATAATTATATATGGAGTATCGAGATCATACTTGATTAGACTTGCGAGCCCTCTGACATTGAGAGTGTCTATGGGCGGCGGTATCACTAAGCATCAGGTGAGCCTCCTGCCAGTTTGGCCCCTGTTACATAAAAATAAAAAATATTAACGACACGAACAGCAGCTTTGCTTGAATATACACAAAAAATTTCACGTCGAATTGACCTTCGCTTTTTGGGCTAAATAAAAACCCTTTGTTTTGCCCACTTCGTGCAGTTCTTAAAGTGAGGTCGTGAGTTCTTGCTGTTGAAGGTAAAGATTAAGAGGAGACCGACGGGAAATGGTCACTAGAGTAACGCCACTAGCTTTATACATTATTTTATATATATTTATGGTTTCTATTGAAATAATACAGTTTTTGTAATTTTATCAAAATAAAATGACTACATTTTTCTTACTTCAATTTAAGATTTTAATACTAATATAAATAATAAAGATATTCTTACAGGATTTTATGAATAATTAAATCTCTTTTCTACATTCTTATACTGAACCTGTACTTCAAAAATATATTGGATTTTGACATACGCGTTTCATTTAGAATTTATCTTACTATCACTACTATCACGATTTTTTCCCGAAGGGGTAGGCAGAGACCACGGATCTCCACTTGCTCACTGTACCTCTCTCGCTTCATCTACTTTCATGACATTCACCAGGCTTATGGGAACTTTTAACTTGTCCCTTCTATACGGGATTCCTAGTTTTTTATATATACCATCGCCCATGGACACTCTCAATGCCAGAGGTCTCGCGAGTGCGTTGCCGGCCTTTAAGGATTGGTTCGCTCTTTTCTTGAAGGATCCTAAGTCGAATTGGTTTGAAAATATTTCAGTGGGCAGCTGGTTTCTTTGGATGCAGGAATTAAGGGACAACACCTCGGAACACTCTTCGTGGTAAATGCGGTATTAGATGCAGAGTGACCCCACATCTCTATGCAATGCCAAGTGATCTAGCCGCTCGAACGGAAAAGTAGTTACTTAATTCGTGCTAAGCTCCGTTTCTGAATTTCACCCCTACTCTAACTTCCATCACCTGTCTTTCTCTGACTCTTCCATCCATCTCTCCACTTATCTCTACTCACCGTAGTCAACCGCTTATTCAGCCAATAGTCATACACGGCAATGACGAGGTCGTCCTGTCTCTCCAGCAATAACTTCGCCTCGCTGAGCGTCACCACCGTCTGACCGGAACTCTTTTCCAGCTTGTCCATCATTTGTTCGAATTTCAATTCTAGAAATACAAAATTAATTGATATTAACACAATTTCTTTTAAAACCTTGTAAACCAAAGTAACTCATCGTAGATTTGATTTTATCCAAATATGTGATACTTGAATTAAAAACAAAAAATATGTATTGATCCTTCACTACAAATCAATGGTTGATTCTAATAATAACGCAATTAAATATAAATCGCTATTGGAAGTTACAGAGTACAGGCGCCGATTACAAGTCGATAAAATCTGAGCGGAAAGTGAACCAAGTCAGCAGGACTAAGTCACCTTTTTTATGTTGCTAACACTAAAAAAAAACATATCTCAAAACTTTTTACTGTAGGAGAACTTACATATAATTACCAAGTGGGTCATTCAGATTTCAGTCGCTACTTAAGGGATCTTCTGTCTCAAGTTAGCTAACCTAACAACATCAATTGTGACCATATTATTATTAAAATGTTATGTTTTAAATAAATAGATTGACTTGGCAGTCAGGCTCACGCTTCTAATTTCATCCACAGCTTATACTATACTACTATAGGGGTCGAAAATGGCCTGAACTATTTCGAGAATAGGATGGCACAGTTCATGCTCGACTTGGCTGAGATTAGTTAGCATAACTACCGGTTCTCTTTCAGCACAGACTGGGGGACAAACGAGTCTATGGAAAAGCCAACAACTACTGCAGCCGCAGAACGTTTATTTTATAAATGTTGAGTTCTATCTGTCCACGACACAGGGAATCCTGGTGTGTGTGTTAGTGGACTTTTTTTATGTATAATAAAGGTTTTTCTTTCTTTCTAAATAGTTGCGAGGTCGTATCTCCTAAAGACCAACACTGGAAACCGATTTCAAAGCTGTTAAAAACGTTTCACCACACTTACTGGTTTTAACATAAGGGGCGCCAGAGATGGCTCTACGTCTCAATATTAAATCAATGGAAATAATATGGAACGATCGCGTATCCCTACTAAATTATGAATTCAGGGCGGCATGCTGTTAATAATGCAAATCAGATTCATCTATATCAGACATTCTGGCACTTTAAATCAACTACACCAAGATATTTAACCTTTTTAACCCAACAACATTTTAGGTACTATGATTACTGTTTCGTGATTTCTCTTAATAGGCAAGTACCTACAATAGACTTCTAACATAGATGTCGTCTGACAGCTGTAATAATTACGCCTTTTGAGTCATCTCACCTGTCAACTCGGGGTGCCTTTGCTGCTTCAACCATCGCTCGTCTTCCGAGTCGATGTCGTACTCCGGCGTTTCTTGCTCCTCCCAAAGCGCTGAAAATAGAAGAAAAATTGCATTTTACCTCTAATTGCAAATTGTCGGTATAAAACGTATAAAAAAACCTCAAAGTTCTTTATGCCTAAGATTTCTATATCTTTCTGGTGATCATTTATTATTGTAATAGACAAGAAGGTTCAAGGCCGGATACCTACTTGTAAACTTGGTGGTGTTGGGTGTCCATGGGCGGGAGTAAACACCAAACCTTAAGGGACCAACCTGCTAGCCTCCTATCCCATAAAAAAGGCTCTGTGCCTTTGACAACGTCGAGTTTTGGGTCTAATGCCGGTATTACGATGTTTTCCTTTACTATACGAACGAGTGTTAAATGCGCACTAAAGTCCATAGCACAGCCGGGGTTCTACGACCTGGGGGACTCATGAGATCGTAGCTACTACGCCGTCACTGCTCAGACTCGTATATTCTTACATTTTAAATATGTAGTTATAATTTTTTTTACTAGTTTAAGGCAGTATATATAAGTGACATGTATATTTATTGTTTATACTGTAACTTTTATATACTGTAAGCAAATACTTGTTTTGTATCAAAGGTTTGAAGGGCTTTTTTTATAGTATTGGGAGCAAACGAGCCTTAAAGACGCCCAAAAAGGGCTATCACCATTCACCGCAGCCCATGGATACCCATGTTTGTTAGTTACATACATACAATTTTACTTTTGTCTTTAAATAAGTTGCGAATTTTCCAATAATGTCTAGTATATTTCCACTTATGCATATAGTAATTAGTCAGGGATGACGGAGGCTCTATCATGAGTCATAGGACCGGTCAAGTGACATTTTTTTATGCGGTTAGTGATTCGCACGGATATGGGTTGAAAACTTGAAAGATGTATGCTTCTAATATTAATAAAATTAAATAAGTAAAATAAGCCTTTATTGACAATTTATAATATGTTTGGCCACAATCCTGATGTTAAGCGAGATGTGGCTTATTGGAAGGCACGCCAGGAGATGCCTGTTTAACTGCCGCTTATATGTTAGATAGTATTTTAAAGATTTTTTCTAGAATATTTTTTTTAACTTTTATTACATATAAATTGAAACAAACATTTCACACATTTGGCTGTATAGGGTCCTTCATGAAAAGACAACAATTCTTAAAAGGCACTCTGACATTGAATATCCATAGGCTTACGTAGTTGGTCCCAAAGTTCTGTCACTAGCACATTATTTCTACATTACGAGCAGGATTTTATAAAAAAATTATTGCATTCTATTTTGGAATGTTTGATTATTGTTTTAAAACAAAAAACAATAACTTTCCGTAATTTTTCACGATGGAGTGGACATTGAAAGTAAACCGAATAGTTGTTATTGCGTTGCACCGCTGTGGACACTCGCCGAGTACCATTTTCAAGTTGCTCAAAAATTTGAATATAACGCTTAGGTTTGTGTACGGTACTATTGATAGGTACCTTGAAGTCTCCAGTGTTGAGGACAAGAAAAGAACTGGCTGGCCACGCTCCGCAAGAACACCAGCAGTAATCAAAGCTATCAAGGCGCGGATAGTAAGAAATCCTGTCCGAAAACAGAAGTTGATGGATTTGCAGATGGGTGTCAGTAGGAAAACAGTAAAAAAAGGTTTTAAATGAAGATCTTGGTCTACGAGCATACAAAAAAAGAGTGGGCACTTACTTAATGCTCGTCTAAAAGCAATAAGGCTTAAGAGATCGCGGGTGTTGTTTAAGCGGTACGCGAAAAACCGACACCGTGATATCCTCTTTACGGACGAAAAATTTTTCGATATTGAAGAGAAGTACAATAAACAGAATTATACAGTGTACGCTAGGAGTTCTGAAGAAGCTGAAAATAAAGTTCCAAGGGTGCAACATGGACATCATCCATCATCAGTAATGGTTTGGTTGGGAATGTCCTATTACGGGCTAACTGAGGTTAATTTTTTCGAAAAGGGGGTCAAAACCAGTGCTACAGTGTACCAAGAGACGGTTTTGTATCGCCTTGTCAAAGACATGTCCAGCACCCTATTTGCGGGACATCACTTCGTGTTCCAGCAGGACTCTGCGTCTGCTGCCAAGACCACTAAAGCCTGGTTTGAGCGTCAAAACATCGTCTTAATTAGACATGAGGATTGGCCTTCCTCCAGTCCGGACCTTAATCCTTTGGACCAGAAATTATGACAGGGCTTAGAGAGGAAGGTCTGTGATAAACCTCATGAAAATTTGGAGAATCTGAAGTCATCTTTAAAAAAAACCAGTGACTGAAATCGACACGAATATGGTGCGTGCTGCGATAGACGACTGGCCGCGACGCTTAAGGGCCTGTATTAAAAATGAGGGAGGTTATTTCGAATATTTTTATGCTTTTTTTATTCCCTAATTAATGTACTAAGAATTGATATATCACTCATTACAAACTGATCAATACTTTTGTTTTTATCATTATTTCCATCTATGACAGAACTTTGGGACCGACCACGTATATAACTTAACATCAGATGAGCCTCCTGCCCGTATGCCCCCTGATTTATAAGCGATAACATCGCTGCACTATGTAATGTTTTTGAAGTTATACTTCTTTAGGCGCGTTATGAAAAATTGATGAGAGTGAAATTTTACGATGCGCGCGCGCCGTGACACAAAATTAACAGAATTAAGTTAGTGGCGCATGTTAGCACGCACGCCTCATCTGTTCACTGTGTATTTATATTTATAATATTTATCCACATGCTTTGAGTTTCTACAGTTAAAACACGTGTTTTCATTAAACAAGTACGAATTTTATATGTGCGTCTGAATTATAATCAGAAGTGATTTAAATTGAATATTTAAATCGATACTAATTAATATTAGAAAATAATAATAAATATAAATATAATATTAATAAATATTTATTTAATTTTTCAAATGTAAACTGAACTTTATTGACTATAATGACTCCTTTTCCAGTATTTGATTATTTAATTGTAATTAATTATTTGCATGCAATCAAAAACTATTTTTAATAATGCCAATAATGTTGTTAATCTTTTTTACATAACGTAAATAAAAAACAACTTAAGCTACTTTAAATTACCTTATTTATCGGTAATTATTTTTCCATAACTCGTAAATACGTGAGTATAATTGACATATTTTCCCTTACCTTTGTAAGGTACAATGAAAACATTGTACAAAGGTACATTCTGGGTCACATCAGAATAGAATTTAAGAAAGATAGAATACATTTTTGTTTCTTCTTCTATTACCTATAGAAGGTTGGCGATCATCATGGATACTTTAATGCCGCGCTTCTGAACCATAACTTGGTACTTTGACCAAACCATTGCCGAAGATTCTTTTTTAAGGGAGAAAGAATTAGTCAAACATTTAATGTTCACCTGTCGATACGATAAACTCTCCCCTCAAATTAAAGAAAATATTAAAATAAAGGCTTCGACTTACGTTGCATATGTATATGTTGTTTTGGCATCTTGTAATCTGAGGGATAGCATCGCTCGTAGAACTCGACATCCGCCTGACATACTTCTGGCGTTGGAATTATTAGACCAGTTCCTGATATCGCTCGCTGGAGGTGATGTTCCTGTGGACAAAAACTTTTTGTTACATGTGTGTTGTTGATGTTACATTGGAATCAATATATATAGTAGATTTTCCATACATTTATTTAAAGATTATTAGTGAGCGTTTTTAGCAGATATGTGTACACATGAATTTTTAGCTATTTATTCGTCGATATATGATATTATTGAAATAGGTTGAGCAGTGTTGGCCTAGTGGCATCGTGCGACTCTCGTGTCTGAGGTCGTAGAATACCGGCTGTGGGGACCACCAATAGGCTTTCTGTCTCTATTTATTTGCTTGTTTTGAATAGCCTCCAAAAATTGGACCGATTTGAAAAATCTTTCACCATTACTACATTATCCCTGATGAACATAAATACAGTCTCACGAACGCTGATTTTAGGATGAGATATATATAAGTTCTAGAGAAAAGTTGTAGGTCTTGATAATGCCTACAAAATGGATATTAGACATATGTAATATGTAAAAACTAGGGATACTCGAAAAACTAATGCACGGAACTTATTTGGCACCAATATCTAGATTCATGATGATTCATATGATTCATGAGGAATGTTTAGGTATGTAATTATTCAAGGTTTACAGGTCTTGCAAGCCGGTTCGCAAGTGTTTCTATAATTTGGATAAACAAGATGAGTTACCCATCTAGAAGCGCTCTTTATTTTAATGAAAGAAATTGTTAAATGAAATTTGATAATACCATCTTAATATTATTACTTTATAGTAATACTAATATTTAAAAATTGCTAAATAGAAAATTAAAACAAATGTAAGTTTGTTCCCTGTGTACGTGGGTAACACTGAAAATGTTTAGAAGAACTGGCCAGTTAGAAACATTGCTAATGAAAACTTTTTTAGAATTCCAATTTTAGAAATCTTTGGTAACCTAATGTAGTAGTAGTAGTATATTGAATTCATTTGTCATTTGTTTTTGTGAATTGGCGGCAAATCTAAAACTCTTGTTAGACGTGAAAATTAACCGAACGCGAGAAAATTTTCGGTCAATGATTTATTATGACTTTCGCTGTGGGCTTACTCAACAACAAAGCTATGATAAGCTGCGATTAGCATTTCTTAATGAAGCCCCATCTCGTGCCATATTTTCAATTGCTTTAACGAGTTTAAGCGTGGACGTAGCAATCTCAATGATGAGGTCCGCGTGAGGGACGTCCTTTAACAGACGACTACTGAAGATAACATCAGTGCTGTGCGAAGCATGATAGAGGAAGATAAGAAATAGAGTGACCTATCAGCAGATGTGGGCAAGCCTAGGCATTGATATGAGTCAAGTTCAAAAAATATTACACGAACATTTAGGCGTCAGGAAGCTTTGTACCGGATGGATTCCCCATACTTTAACTGACGACCAGAAACACCTTCGCATGGACTGGTGTCGCCAAATGTTACATAAGTTCAACGGCGGTGACTCAAAATATGCTGTAATTGACATCGTCACACGAACCCCAATTTTAAGGATAAAATTCGAGCTCTGAGGATGCGGTGAAAGCGTACGAAAATGCCATAGAAGAGACCCCTAAGGAAGAATGGGCCCACTGCTTTTCTCAGTGGTTCCACGAATGCGACGATGTAAAGAGAGGAACGGAGATTACTTCGAAAAACAATAAAAGTATTGCCAACTTTCTATATAAAGCCGTTTTTAATTTTCTAAACACTTTCAGTGTTACCCAGGTACCTTTGATCCCGGGAGCATTTCCTCGTTGTATTGTTATACCTAATCGTTGAGCGAGGAAAGCACCAGCTCTGGGGTCACCGGTACTATCTACCATCCCCCAACTTAAATCTTTAATTAGCGCCTGTGCACATTTTATTAAGTCTGCCTATCGATCTATTATGTAAAAAATACGCCAGTCAAGTGGATACAATAACGCAATTCCCTCCGTGGGAACTTCGCAACGTGAGTTAGGCAATCGTAACCCTGAGCTCATTGTAGTGAATTCTTTTATAGAATAGATACTCCAAGTTTATTATTCAAGCCTTGCGGTCCGAGCAACTTCCAACCCTGAGGTGGTTCAAATCACGGCCCTGTACAAATTGCTATTTGTAATCATAATATAAACCATTGCCCGTACGGTAATGGCAATAGTGAGGACAAAATATTAGACTCTTCCTACAAAAAAAAAACCCATTAAAACGCCACAATAATTATTCTTAGTACATGAATTTAAAAATAAACCACTGAAGGGGAGAGTTCCCATTAAAGGGTTGTTTGAAAAATGTTAGCAATTATCCAATACTTATTATACGAAATTTCTTAAAATCTGTTGAATTAACGAATAGAAAAGTCACTATAGATTTTTGTTTAATTAGAAACTACGAGGACATAACTAATATTAACACAGATAATGCACATTTAAACAACACTTTCTATTTGTCTTAAAGGGTCTTGTTTTTATATGAGAATAATATATTAATAAATAGTTTTTAGGAAGTCGATATCGTATTGACATCGTACGTCAAATACATATTAAACGTTTACATACAGGAATCATTGTTCTAAGACTGTGCTGGGCATCTCGCGATACTGCAATTGGATTGGATTTAATAGGAATCATTTAAATAATTTATATATTGTTCGAATATTGGTTGGTATATAAAGAAAAAAACTACGCCATCATTATGCTAGGTTCTAAACTCTGGTAGGATGTGTAAGTTAGCTAATAAATTTTCCGCCTGAAAATGACCCCTTGCACCTCTTACCCAGTTTCGCAGAGCAAACTTTTCCGAAATTTTGCATAAACTTATGGTTTATATCTCTGGCTTAGAAGTCACATATATACTTTGTAAGAATTCTGTTAGTTTGCCGTGTACAATTAGTTTGAATTGTTATTTTTGTGTGTTTGTAGAGTAAAGTTTTATTGTCATGCCCGCAGGCAAACCTTTTTTAAATAAATAAATTGTATTAGAAAAAAATATGAGGAATAGTAGAATTTTTTTTATATAATATTACATAAAATAACAACCACTCAGGGATGGGACATGCCACCTTAATATAAGACACATATGCCCTCGAATACAGTGTCGCTAATACATAATGTATTTTTTTACATTTGCTTTTTTCAGTTTATTTTTAGGTTTACGGTGAAGGACAGAGAGCGCTGGAAGTTTCCCATTTCGAAGGCCAAGACACTTCGTGCATCGCAAAAGGCAGCGTGGTAAGTTTCGCACTTTTGCACTATACAACATGCTGGTCCTGCTCCATAGGACAATCCTATGATTGGCTCTATAGCCTGGACAAAATCAAATTGGTTGCTGATTTTTTGTTTTAACATATTTTTGTTATTATTATTATTATTTTTTTTAATTTATATAATGCTACAAATGTAATTATTTTTTTTTTGTATCTCACACACTGTTTTGTTGTATTTTTTTTAATATTTTTATTACTCTTTAATGTTAATATTCTAAGGTTTCGATATTTGTAAATATGTGAGGAACATGTATACTAACTTTTTTAGTATAGTAGTTTATTCTAAGAGTACATTGTCTTCACATATAATTATTTAACAAATGTAACAAAATATTGTAAACCTATTTTAAAAGAGTAAGTGTGGAGTTTCTTGCCCATTCTTCTCCACACGAAACTACCTTTTGGAAGGGGCAACTAGAATCATCTTTATATATATTTTTTTTTTTGACGTTCAAAAGTGCCATTTTAGATGGTCTAATTGAAATAAACGATTTGACTTTGACTTTGACAATTATTTTGGCAATATAAAAAGAAATTTGTGTCGTCACAATATTATATCTGTTTTCTATTATTAGGTTTGTCTGAAGCGCTTAATACTAATAAGATAATAAGATTCACTATCATAGTTTACTAATATAGGTACTTTGTAAATTTTTAATATATTGTGCAATAAAGTGTAAACATATTATAATCTTAATAGTTTTAAAAATTTTCCTTGAATTGTTGTTGACGGTCACCTCCGAGTAATCACAAATTACATTAACTCATCGAAATTTTATCGTATTAATAAAATCTTATCAATACATTATCGAAATCAAAGACTTTTCGCCGAATTTGTTATATTTATAGTAGTGGGGGTAATTTTTCCTACTTAAGGCAGACACGACATGCATGCAGTGAGAAATTTTTACGACTGCGCTGTCTGACAGGATTTTAAAAATCATTTCAAACGCGATGTTTTCATTCATCGTTCGAGCGAGTGTTAAATGCGCACAAATCAATACAGTCCATTGCTGCACAGCCGGGGATCAAACATACGAACCCAGCGATGAGACTAGCACGCTGTAGCCACTAGGCTAACACTGCTCTAAAAATTCAAATTTAATTTTCATAATTTTAACAATGTTTTTAAAAGAAACATTGTTAAGTGCCAATCTGATACTTAATCCGCATTGCTAAGCAAGAAATTACTAGTAAACACTAAAATTGGAAAGGTATTTTAATTAATTTTTTATTTATGTTCACCATAATTGTCATGTATTTTAGAATAGATAGCTTGTAAAATATACATTATATACATGATGTGGTGAACTTTAATAAATTAATTTCAAGAACTGGCCAAAGCCGTTCTCTAGGAAAGACGTACCATGCCCCCTGTACCAACAAGGACGCAAGCATTTTTTACGTGTTATTTATAATTCTGATAAATTGACACATATATTATATTTCGATCAAAGCCTATGACGTAATTAAACTCCAAGACAGTATTAGACAGGCGAAGACATGTACTAGCTACGTCATCGTCGATTCGACTAATCTGTGACCGTTTAGTCATGCCAAGTATAAAATGTGTTTTTTATAAAGTTTACTCCATAACGCCTTTAAAAGCCATCCTTGTACAGATTACTCTTAATAACACTTTATTTTAATACTGTGTGAACTGCGGGAGTCAATAGTTTCAAATTTCTTGCCAGATATGCAAAACACCAACCGTTTATTACTATTCAAACTCCAACTCAAAACAACTTTATTCATAAAGGTAACCAAGTACATTTATGAACGTCAACAGAATAAATGTTAAATTAATTCTAAATTTACATTTAGTACCAGTTCGCAAGGCAAGGGTGTAGAGCGGGCAAGAACAACTGGCAAGAAACTCTCCGCCACTCTTTTTAATTGCTAAGTTTTTTATCTATATTTATATTATTTTATATTCTAAATTTATATTATTTATAGTTTTTTATTAATGTTTATTGTTAACTATACGAGAGATAGAATTGTTTACATCGTCGAATAATACTTTATTCCTATTCACTTTGAATAGAAGTGAAGTGTCATCAGCAAACAATACCATCTCATGAACTTCGTTGACAAAGAATGAGAGGTCGTTTATGTAAATCAGTAATAAGAAAGACCCGAGAATCGAGCCATGGGGACGCCGATTGACACCTGCGAACTCGGAGAGGTGACTCCATTGACATTCACTATTGGATCCTTCCCTTTTAATATGAATTCATCAGGCTGGAAGGTTTAAGCTTTGCCATCAACGCCAAAGTATTGAAGCTTTCCAACCCGTATATCAGATTAACACAGTCAAAGGCCTTTGACAGGTCACAAAAGACACCGACTCCATCATCATATGATTCTTCCCAGGCGTTAAATATGTCTGAAATCAACGTCACACCGGTATATTCAATACTTGCAAGCCGGTATTTTCTAGTAATCATTTCTTGTATTTGGATAGAGACACTTTAGTAAATATTAAAAAAAACCAAAGGGGTTACAACCTCTCAGTAGTAACCTTCAGATTCCATTTCTGTTTCATGATAATATTATTTTCCTTAATAGGAAATTAGGCTACAGCCTACTAACTGACACAAGTCGGATTTTTTAAATTTGAGACATGCTTTTTTATCCATCAGAACAATGTACAAAGTCCGAGTGAGTGCTAGATGCGCACATAGACATAAAGTCCATTGGCGCACGGCTGGTACCCTGAAGCCACTAGGCCAACACTGCTTTTTTTTAAAATAAATAATTCAATGTGCAGACACAATTATGTATGCATTACACATTAAGTTAATTAAATTAACTAATATAAGTTTTATATTCAGTTTCTGTTCTGTATTCTATTTCTGTATGTTTTTATTTTTTACATCTGGGTTGTCAGTAAGACCGCCTATTTACATCCCTTGTTTTCTTTTATTTGTCATCCTGTTTTAAATATTGTGATATAAAGTGTTATTATTATATCTTCTTTCACTGCCCCTCCATAACTGGAGGTTTGCCGTCTGTCTCGTGAAGCGTATCTCGCCTAATGCATCACTGAACAAACGAATTAACGCAAATAAAACCGCACAGTTAAAAAACAGACCAATAAATATACTATTAATTCATTCCGAATAAAAAGAGATGAACAATTTTTAAAGCCTTAATTTTACATTTGATTTATATAAAAATCATTAATTGTTTTATGTATTCTTCCACGTAAATATGAGCCACGGAAGTCACCCACACACGGATATCCCTTGTGTGGAGACTGGCGTCTGTATGATTAGTTACTTTATAATTTTGTCATTTTTAAATAAATAAAAAATTGGATTTTAATAGAAATTGATATTAAATCATCATCATCGCCAATAGCTATACAGCGCCTTGTGGACCGTAGCTTTCGCAAGTATTATTTGCCATCGAAATCCCGTGCTTCTTGCGTCTAACTTGGAACACCTTTTGTTTCGAGGTCCTAAACAACTCCTTCCCACCGACGCAGCCTCTGACTACCGGGTTTACTTTTGCCACCAGGTTGTAAGTTCAATAAGGACCTTGGGGTTCTGTTGTCCGCCAGTTCGTTTAAATAAGATCGGTCCGGTTGTATATACTTTAGGTTAATTAGTGATTTTAAATCACGTTTCATTAACTTAAGTTCCATCAAGTTAACAAAAAATACTTTTGAAAAATTACATATAAAAATATGTGTAATACATATATATGTATATATATAAGATATTTATTAATATAAATTTTTACGCAATCGACAGTTTAAAACATTTCATACATGGTATAGATTTTTTCGCATGTCGCATGAGGCCCCCGGTCGTTGACCCCGCACGGTTGCGTAACGGCCAAATTCGTGCATACCGCGTGGCTAATAAAGATAAGATTCTCGAAGCTGGCTGAGTTTTAGGAGCTACATAACTGTTTTCCTGGCCAAACGTTCCCTTTTAAATAGTGTCCCTTACAGTTCAACAAAATTGTTCTAAAAATAAGACGAATATCGTTGTTCCCAAATTCATATTAAAATTTTAGGAACATACAAATTGAAAAATTATTTACGCTGTATTACATAAAAGCATTCAAAACAATAATAAATATAATTGTTTTAAGAAAAATGGCAACTTTAAGTAATGGAAAGATTAAAAAATTGAACTCAGTCTATGTAAATAAAAATGAATTGCAAGATATGTTGCCAAGCCCAAACTCGATGACAGCTGAACCAATTCGAGTTTTTTTATTTATTCCTTGAACTATGAGGAAGAAAAATTACACGGAAAACCCAAAAAACCCGTTTTCTTTTCTGTAATTGCGAACGCAGTAAGGCAATGAATGTTCCATATTTTGATATGCAGATACTAAAACTTATCGAAA